CCAACTGCTGGAAATATACTAAGTGCCCATCAGTAAATGAGTAGATCAAAAAACTGTGGTATATTTACACAATGGAATACTACACAGCAGAAAGAAAGAAGGAACTCCTACCTTTTGCAACAGCATGGATGGAAATGAAGAATATTATGTTAGGTGCAATTAGTCGGTTGGTGAAAGACAAATACTGTATGATCTCACCTATAAGAGGAATCCAATGAACAAAATAAACTCATGAGCAGAATAGAACCAGAGGACTGGAAACATGGAACAGACTGACAGTGATCACAGGGGAGGGGAAGGGATAATGGTGAGAGGAATGGGAAGGGGCTAGTCAAAGAACATGTATGAATGACCCATGGACATGGACAATGGTGCAAGGATTGACTGTGGAAATGGAGGAGGGCAAAGGGGGAAAAATGGGACAACTGTAATGTAATAACAATAAAATTTAAAAACAAAAAAATTTACAGGGAGCCAATGGAGTGGGTGTAGGTGAGAATCAATGATTTGGAACATAAGGGAGAAAAAAACATTCACTCAGAATAGCAAAAAGAAAAGAACAATAAAAAAACAAAGATAGGCTAAGAAGGCTATGGGACAACTTCAAACATACCAACATTTGCATCATAGGGGTGCTGGAGGAAGAAGAGAAAGGGCAAGATATTGAAAACTTATTGGAAAAAACAATGAAAGAAAACTTCCCTAATTTGGTGTAGGAAATAGAAGTCCAGGAAGCACAGAGAATCTCAAACAAGATGGACACAAAGAGGCCCACTCCAAGACACATCATAATTAGAATGCCAAATATTAAAGATAAAGAGAGAATCTTAAAAGTAGCAAGAGAAAAGCATATAATTACCTACAAAGGAATTCCCATAAGACTGTTAGGTGATTTCTCAAAGAAGCTTTGCATGCTAGAAGGGACTGGTAAGAAGTATTCAAAGTGATGGGAAAAGCAGGGACCTACAACCTAGATTACTCTATCCAGCAAAGTTATCATTTAGAATAGAAGGGCAGAATCTTCAGCTTTGCCTTTCCCAGACAAGGCAAAGCTGAAGAAGTTCATCATCTCCAAGCCATTATCATATGGAATGTTAAAAGGACTTATTTAAGGAAAAGAATATCAAAATTATGAAAATTAAAATGGCAACAAGTCACAACTATCAACAATTCAATCTAAGAAACAGACTAAACAAACAAACAAACCGAACAGGAACAGAATCATAGATATGGAGATCACCTGGAGGGTTATCATTTGGGAGGGAGAAAGGGGAGAATGGGGGAAAAGGTATAGAGATTAAGGACTACAAATAGGTAGGTACAGACTAGACAGGTTGACATGAAGTACAGTATAGGAAATGGAGAAGCCAAGTAACTTATATGTATCACCCATGGACATGAACTAAGGGGTGGATTGCTGGAGGGAATAGGAGTGCTGGTGGAGCAAAGGGGGAAAATTGGGACGACTGTAATAGCATAATCAATAAAATGTATTTAAAAAAAGAATTTCAGGAGCATGGTGTGTAAGGTGGGGAATGGGCTCTGACTAAACTCATCCCTTTACCCATGACTCCTCCTGCTGTGCGGGCCAGGTCAGAGGAGGGCTACTTCTCAAAACGTGATCCCTGGACCAACAGCACAAGCACCACCTGGGAGCTGATCAGAGCTGCAGAATGTCAGCCATGCTCCAGACCTACGCACATTCTAACAAGGTCTGGGGGATTTGTGTGCACACTGAGGTCTGGAAAGCATTGCTCTAAAGCACAAAACCCAGGCCCAGGATCGCTCTTGCCCAGGTCTGGGGGATGGTAACAATGAGTGTCAATAAGTATTTGCTCAATGAATGCCAAATATCATCCGAAATATGCCTGGTAACCATCAGTTGGGGTGGTTACAATGCTTTCATTTCCTTTTTCTCTGGGGCCTCAGTGGCCAAGTTTCCACAAGACACTGGCCTGAGCTGATTGGTCACATGAGAGGCACCAGACCTCCCACAATGGGCCAATCAGTTGATCTCTCAGAAATTTGAAACGTCAGCCCAAAAACAAGCTCCCAGAGTAACAAATAGCAAGTCATAGAGACCACCTTTCTTGCACCTGTGATGTCTCAAGCATGGCGTTTTATGTGTAGTATAATCTGAGCCTCAACCGAGGACATGCTCACTGATTTTAGAGGAAGGGGAAGGGAGAGAGAGAAAAATCGATGTGAGAGAGATACATCGAATGGTGCCTCTCCTGCATGACCCAACCAGGGACCAAACTCAGCCTAGGCATGTGCCCTGACCAGGAATCAGACCCATGAGGTTGGTTTATGGGATGACGCTCCAACCAACTGAGTCACAACGGCCAGAGCATACTCTGCTTATTTTTTAGATGAGGCTATCCCAAAGCTTCAAGGCAGGGACAGGCCGCACTCGCAGAGCTGAGTGATCAGCTGAACTGAGCCATGTGGTGTGGTGCAGTGTAGAGATACTGTCACCAACTTCTGCCACCAGGTCTCCAGGCTGCCCAGCTTCACCACGATTGGGCCAAACCCCCAGGAAATGGCCTCTGTGCAGTGGGGAGCAAGACCCAGCTCTGTAGGAGGTCCGCAGCGAGGGAGGAAGGCTGCCCTGGGGACAGAGTGAAGGTCAGGAGATACCGGAGAGGGGAGCATAGAGAACCGCCATTCCCCAGGCAGGAGTAGGTAGGGCGTGGCTGTCAAACTTCAGGACAGGCCAGAAAGCTCCCACTGTGAGGACTGCTGGAGATCTCACCCCCTTTCCTCCACTCCAGTGAGTCAGCAGCTAACTTGCCAAAGAAAAGGTGTGGGCACCTTATTTTGGAGACACAGGGCAGGGGCAGTGGAAGAGTTTGCATCTTCCTCTGAGGAGTGGACACTCAAGAGGCTGAGGGGGTCGAGGCAGTGGGATGAGCCAGGACGACCGAGGCCCTGTGGGGGCCAGAGAACCAGTCCATACTGGAGAGGGGAGTCGGGGCCTCACTGACTGGAGGCCCTGACTGGTCGCTGACTTGTGCTCTCAGGGGACAGGGTTCTGAGTGGAAACTGCCATCTGAATGACCTGGGGCAGGTCGGCCTCTGACCACCTATGAAGACAAAAGCAATCAGCAGCAGAAAGTTTCTGTCAGAATCCAAGCCTCAGCAGGTGCAGGGTTGTTTGGCTTTATTGAAATAAAAAATAAACCAACCAGCTTGTTTCATGAGCACTAACACAGTGGTGGCCACCCGCCGTCACCTGACAATCAAATGCCACACAGCACTCACACAGGTCACACCTTGGGTCACACCTCGGGTGGCTCACAATGCAGGTGTCACACGCCGGGCAGCACACTAACCCAGGGTAGCCACATTGAAATACACTTATCACTGCACATATCTCTCTAAAACAAATCACACAATCATCAGGTCTGAGAAGAATCATTCGCTCCCCTCAGTAAGGGGGCACAAAGCTGGAGAGCAGAGGCTGCTCCTTCTGACCCCTCGCAGTGGGTGAGGGCGGCCCAGCGCGTGGGAGAGACCCAATGGGAGGGTGTGACTACGGCCAGAATGTGGTCAGAGGCCTCCTCTGCTGCTGAGAGCTGGAAGGGATCTGTCCCAACGCCCACAGGTGGGGGTGCAGTGTCCCCGAGGCCCCTGCAGACTGAGATGTAAATAGCTCCAGGCCCACGCAGCACCTAGTTTGCTGACGAGGGTGGCTTGCTCCTGTTTCTTCTCTCTACTTTTTTCAAGGAGCAAAATTCAGAGTAAGATCTGGCAGTTCTGGAAACTTGTTCTGGTTCCTGAGACAACCATGGCAATAATGGAGTAGAGAGGACCTTCCCGCTGACTCTCACAGCAGGTGGGAAGAGGGACCCTTCCTCTGGAGGGACCTTTAGGTCCACTTGGCACAGGTCTGGGTGAGGAGATCCCCTGGTCACACTGTGAGGACACGGAGCTCCCCTCAGTACCTGACCCGGGCCTATGGCTCCTCCGACAAAGAAAACGGCATCCTTCCATTCCCAGCTCTTTAGAGGTCCTCATACTACCCCCACGGTTTTGGCTCCCTCCCGCTCCAGAGCCCACAGCCTTGGGCGACCCTTGAGGCTGAGCTCTTCAGTCTGGAGGCACCTGCTGCCACCAGATGTACAGGAGCGGCTGTGGAGTGGTGGGCGTCACACTGTGGGTGGGGGAAGGGGGTAACATGGAGCTTAAGAGGAGGAAATGCAGGAGTGGGGACTCCTACTGACTGGACTTAACCTGGGACACAGCCTGGGGCAGCTGAATTCACTGAATGGCAGGGCCACAGCATGTCTAGTTCTGAGGCCTGCTCTCCCTACAACAGACAGGTGTTTAGGCAGAATTTTAGACTTCCTAACCCTGCATCAAGCCCTACACCCCTTAAAAATTCTTATGAGCAAGCATTTCCTTTGTTTAAGGAGCCCGTGAATGTTCCATCCCAATGGTCCTGCCCCGCCTCCCTGTCCTCACCGGCCCAGCACAGTCAGGCATCCGGCAGGCTGGGCCACACCAAGCCACAGAAGACCAGAACGAGGGGCTGTGTGTGCCCAGCAGCTCGGCCTCTCTGGAGGGCCCGGATGTAGCCTCATCTGGTGGATGCCTTGGTGGACAGACACAGTGTCCTCAGGAGGGAGGCTGGAACAGAGAGCCTCGAGGACAGACAGAGTGGGGGCTGATGGGAGCTGAAGTGGCCATTCTCTAGAGGGGAAGTGGGAACCAGCAGGGGAGGGGCCCTCTGGGCAGCTCCAGCAGAGAGGGACACGTGGGAAGTCCAGGCTCAGCCTGTTTCCTTGGTAACTGGCCTTTTCCAAACCCAAGCCTGATGAGGCCCCATGTGGTGGGAGCCTGCAGATTTGTAGGGAAGGAGTGCCAGCCTGTGGGTGGGCTGTGACTGGGAGGCTGGCCAACACCCCCAGGTAGCAAAGCGACAAGTGGTGCCTGGGAGGCAGAGGCTGGATTCCAGCAAGACAGACCCGCTCACCTCCAGCTCCGGGCTGGGGGGCTTTTCTTTACCGGTCATCTTTATTCCACTTTGAAGCAATCAGAGAAGCTTCAGTGTCGGGATCACAGCTCTGAGGAGCTCCATGGTGTCTCACATTTCCTCTCCCGTCACATGATTTTCTGCGTTAACTGGATTTACTGAGGAGAACAGCCGTATTTATAGAGATTTCCGAGTAGGTTTCCATTCCAAGGCAGGGTGAGGCTTGCCCAGAGCTGCTTCAGAGGGGGGGCTGGAGGAGGCTGGCCGAAAGGGCCAGCGGGGGCAGCAGCAGGAGCGGGGGTGCCCAGGCAGGGGTGGCCGCTGCGGGATGAAACACAGGCATGAGGCTCTGAGGCTCCTGGGCTGCACTGGACGGAGCACATTTCTGTAAGCTCAGCTCGCCCAAGCTCCCTCTTTGTGTGCTATTACAAATGTTCTCTCCTCCGCTTTCTTTACATATTCATTCCTTTCAAAATTACACCACATGTATATTTATGTAGTTGCCTCATCCTTTCTGGAAGATTATTTTTAGCATTTATATTCATGATCCAGGTCTCTCTGGGTTACACAGCCAAGTGTTCCTGCTGTAACTATCTGCAGCCTCCTGTTCAGACCCTCCCGAGACACCGCACCTCCATCACTTGAAAGACCCAGAGCACCCTTCCACTCACTCAAGGTTCTTTGGGGGAAGACTCAAAAGGATGCAGGGTGATGTGGCAGGATGCCTGCTCTTCCTCTGTGGGGGGTGAACCTGCCCATCCAGGGCTTTCACAGCTGCCCACCCAGTGGGCCGGGCCCTACCTGCACCGGAGCATTGCTGAGACAGCATCCCTTCCAGAGCCGCCACATAGTCGTGGCCCAGCCAGTCGAGGTATGTGGTTTTCTCCCCCACAGGCTCCACCCGGATTGTGGTATCCTTGAAAAGCAGATCTTGACCATGATAGTCAGAGGAGTCGAACATTTTGAAACCATTCTTATTGTGGTCATCTCCAAACAGGCCCTGGAAGCACCACAGGCAGACCTGCTTTTTATCTGGGCTCCCAAATGGTCACCCAGGTGCTGTCTGCTATTCTTTGGTCTACGTACAGCGAACCAAAGGGCAGGGGATCGCAGGCGCCAAGACTCTGACTTGAAATCATAAGCTTGATAACTCATCGACCTCTGTCATCAAGTGGGATTTGGAATAAGATATGATGAAGCTACCATAGTAGAAAGGAGCAAAGTGGCTATTGATTTTTGGGGGGATGCTCAATGATCCTCTTGAGGATCTAATGAAAGCTATCAGCTTTCTCCCCAGAAAAATGCGCATCTATACGGGGTACTTCCCAGGAGGCAGGTCAGCATGTTTAGGGGGAAGGAGAGTGAGGGGGGAAGAGAGGATGGGTTAGGACCGAGGGACCCTGCTGTCAGACAGCCTGGGTTCAAGCTCTACATGTATTTTGAAAGTGCGGCCAACAGGATTTGCTGATGGACTGGGTGTAGAGCATGAGAAGAAGACTGGAGTCCAAGGTGACTTCCGGGGAAATGGAAAGGCTAAAGTGGGGAAGACCGATGGAGAAGAATGTCCAAACTTGGACTTGTTCAGTGTGAGATGCCTGGTAGAATACCAGTTGAAATGTTAAATAGGCAGTTGTTAAAAGAGCCAAATCTGACCCTGGCTGGTGTGGCTCAGTGGATTGAGCACTGGCCTGCAAACCAAAGGGGTCTCTGGTTCGATTCCCAGTCAGGGCACATGCCTGGGTTGCAGGCTAGGTCCCCAGTAGGGGGCACGCGAGAAGCAAGCACATATTGATGTTTCCCTCTCTTTCTTCTTTCTCCTCTCTCTAAAAATAAATAAATAAAATCTTAAAAAGAAAAAAAGAGGCAAGTCTGAGACTGAACGGTTGATGGCAGCAGGACTGAAGATGTGCATTTAGGAGCCATTGGTCAGCACATGGATGCAAGTTAGTGGTGTGGGACTGGATGAGATCCACAGAGGTGTAGGTGCAGCAGAGAAGAGGGTTTAGGACTGAACCCTGGGTGATTGCAGGCCTGGGGAACGAGGAGGAACCAGCAAAGGAGACTGGGGGCAGTGGCCAGAGAGGTAGGCAGAGAGCCAGGCAGGTCCCTGGTGGGGGCACTTGAGAGGCAACCACACATTGATGCTTCTCTCCCTCTCTTTCTTCCTCCCTTCCCTCTCTAGAAATAAAGAAAATCTTAAAAATGCAGGAAACAGGGGAGAGTGGTTGGAGGGATGTTTTTGGTTAAGTGAAAAAGCACAGAATTTCCCCCTCTCCCCCAGGCCTCCTCAGTTCCTCCCGAGGCCCACTGCGGGTAGTCTGAGGTGTCCCAGGGGCTTGGCTCACCTGTGTCAGTTACCCACGTAATGATGTAACCCCTGCCCTGACTCACTTGGGCCTTGTCCAGCAGTCCATACACAGCAAAGGTGTTGGTATCTGGCCGGACCATGATGGCACGGGATGGTATCTGTGCCAAGTTGCAGTCTTCAAACTGAAACACTTCGGCCCGGGCCCCATTGGGACATAGCAGCTGATAGTCCTCCGACTTGAGCGCAGCGGCCCATGGCTCCGAACTGTGGCCTGAGGGGGAGGAAGAGAGAAATCCTTGACTGCGGAGAGGAGGTGGCAATGTCTGGCCAGCTCCCCAGAATTCTCCATTTTCCAATTGCTCTGCTCTGATGCCAGGATGAGAGCCTGGCTAGGTCCAGAGTGTGGGCAGGAGTTACAGTTCTCAGGGGGTAGGGAGTCCTACTCTGTGACAGGCTTTGTCAAGCATTGCTCTATCCTCATGACAGCAACACAAGGCAAGTATGATCACACCCACTTTATGAGTGAAGAAACGGAGGCTCTCATCCACTCCTGGGCAAAGAACCCCATCTGTGCGTTACAGGTTTCAGGCCTGAGAGTGGAGTGGGCTAATAAAGGTGGTGGTTCACCTCCTCCCCTGCCAGCTGAAGTTTTCAAACCAGATGGCATATAATGTCACATGTGAACCCATGAGAGGCCATTCCAAAGGACCTGGAGATTTAAATCAGCACCTCAGCGATTCTGAAGTAGGTGGTTGGTCCAAGGGCTTCCTCGGAAACACCGCCCTTGGGAGTTAGTTACATTATTTTTGTCTTCATGTATCCACCCTCTTCGCACTTCCAGAAGGAACTTCAGGTTGGTGCATGAGTAGATGAAAATATAGGCAACTGAGAAACCCTGGAAGGTGGGTGTTTCACTGCAGGTGGTTCTGAGACACCTCCCTGGCCGAAGACAGCAGGGGCTGGGACCACACAGGGCTCACAGGCTCCAGCAGGAGCACTCAGCTCGCTCCCGCCGGGGATGATCCCAGGGGCTCTAGGTCTCCCTGCAGGGGAGAGGGGTTGTGGCCATGGGGCCTGGGGCACTTCCTAGCTCAAAGGGTCTGCAGCTTCGGTGGCCTTCATAGGCAGGGTGGGGTCCGAGATTTGAAATACTAACAGACGCTCTTCCCTGCAGGTCTGCTTTTCCTTCACCAACTTCCATCTCCCGTGTGGGCCTTTTCCTGGGCAGAGACGTGTTAGGACAGAGTGGAAAAGGCTGTGCCTCAAGTGTCAGGGGGTTCAAAGCCTGGGTGTAGGAAGGGTGTACAGAACGGGCAAACGATGAGTGTTGGAGGCAAGCAGCCTGCAGTCCTCAGAATGAATGAAATTAATTCTCTGACGGAGGGAGAGCAGGAAGCGGAGGGAAGTGACGCATGCCAAGGGGCCCTGCCCCCTGACAGGACCCCAGGGATGGGCTTAGGGAGTCCTGGATCACAGAGTTCCTAGCTCGTTTTCCCAGAGGGAGTTCAGGAAGGTGCCATTGGAGAACAAACCGCAACAACACGAATGGGATTGTGCCTTGCCTCTCGTGGCCGAGGGGCTGCGGAAGGATCTCTGCACGTGGCATCGATCTGCTCCAGGCTGAAGACCAGATGCTGATGTGAACTGATGGCGGTGTGGAGAGGCCCCTGCCGCGCCTCCCACACACCTGGGTACCACTACATCTCCCCATATCTACTGAGCATGAGTTTCTACCACTTCGGCGGAGCGTGGATTTGGACTCCAGACCAGTAAAGACTGTCATGTGTCCGGGCTGTGTGGCCAGAGGTCTGCTCTTACCATGAGGCTCTTGGGACCCCAGGATCCCCAAGGATTAGAGGCTTCTAGACTCAGTCTTTCCGGTTGCTTCTTGACTCCCAAACCCAGCAACACCTGGGGCCTGGACTGTGTTGGGGGTGGGGAACGGCCCCCCCACTCCGCCCTGGGATCAGGCCTTGCTCTGGCCCCTGTCCTCCTCACCTACCATTTGTGTTGTCAAAGACGGTTGTGTGCTTGACAAAGGCGACATCCCCTGCATTCTCAACCAGGCACCTGCCACACAAGAGGCCAAAGCAGGTGTCAGCAGGAGTGTCCCAGCCTCTGTGCCAGCCCCCTGGCTTACCTGCCAGGCCCACCAGAGTACCTGAAGGCGCCGCTGTAGCCAAAGTACCTCTCCTGGCCGTTGCCCACACACTTGTTGCGGCCCTGCTCGTCCCCCACGCAGAGCGCGCACAACAAAGACGGGTAATGCTTGGGGTTGTTCACTGGCACGCAGCTGGCGCTGAAGAAGTCGCTCACCGCTGGAGTGCAGGGGAAGAGCTGTGTTAAGAAGCTGGTGCAGAAAGGGCAGCCAGGAAGCAGATGGGAGGGCTGCTTCCCCACAGGTCTGCCCACCCTGCCCAGCCTTCTGGCTCAAGACCACCCATGCGCTCCACTGGCCACCCAGCTCAGAGCGGCAAGTCTCCTCCTGTGAGAATCAGGGGGATGAGAGAACACAGAGGCTGTCTAGATACAGGAACCCCGTGGATAACCTCTGATAAGTGGTCACTGAGTCTTCCCTGGAACTCCTTCAGAGATGGGGAGCTCATTACCTCATAAGCTATTTTGTTCCAGTCAAAGACCCTGTCCAGCTGTCTGGGAGTGGAGGCAGCCAATCCCAGCACCTCTGTGTGCTTGTGTAGGTGGTGCTAGCCAGGACCGAGGTGTGTGTGCAGTCAGCCCAAGGCTCTTGCCAGCTGCCTCCTGCCTTCTTTTCACCACATATGCGCGCCACTTAACATACGGGGAGGGCCCCATGGACGGCATGTGGTGGGCACTTGGTCAGAGTGTCTGCAGCACTAATACAGATGGACAGCTGCTTCCCGATAGGGCCCCCAGATGCCCAAGGCTGCTGGGGGATGGGGCAGCCCCATGACCAGAGGTGATGCAGCTGGTCTTGAACCTGTGCACACCCCACTCCTCATACCCATTGGAGCCAGTCCCACTGTGGGTAAGTAGGTAGGGCACCACGGCAGCTTCCACAGAACCACCAGATACCCCTGTCATCGGGGTGGCCAAGAATATTTCCCATCCTTCTTAAGAGCAAGGGCCACGTCAAAGGGGAAGAGGAGTTGCTGGGGCTGCCTTCTGTGAGGTCGGGCTGGGAGAGGGTCCCTGACCCCAGCCAACCCCAAAGAATATTTTATGCGTCTGTGTTCCCAAGCAGGGTGGCACCTGTGAGGACGTCGCAGTCCTTGGGCTGGATGAAGCCCCTCTGCACGAGGGTGCCCACGGGGATGTCCCAGCCGGCGGGGCTGCCAAAGGCTGAGTGGCAGGAGCGCGTGCCCCGCAGCTCGTTCAGGGTGAAGGCGTAGGAGCTGTTCCGCTTCACCACGGCCACCACGAAGTATGAGCTGCTCCCGTCCTCCACTGGGGAAGGGGACACCAGTGAGGCCCCATCTCAGTGCCAGGGGCACCTTTCCAGGGTCCCTTCCTCCCTCACCCCCTTCCTCCTGCTGCTCTGCACCCCAGAGGGCTGGCCCTGCCCTGCCTGTCCGGCCAGGTGTCCAGGCCCTGGCTGCACGGGCTCAGGAGCGCCCAGGCCTGAGGGCTGTGGCTGTGCAGGGAGCAGAGCGGGCAGTGGGACCCGCCGCTGAGAAGCAGCTTCTGGCTCTGCTTTTGGAGTTCTTTCTCCCACCCCCTCCCCCGCCAGCAGCTCTCACTGGGAGGGATTTCTTTCTTTCCTTACACCCAGGTGCTATTTTTCCCACCTCCTGGGAGAAAGGTGGAGACACAGCTGAGGCACAGACACATTTTTTCACAACCAGGTGGAAGGAACCTGAGGTCACCCCTTAAGAGGACAGAGCACCAAGGCTTCAGGCCAGGTCCCTGGAAGACGTGCACAAGCTGACCGGAAGGTGGGCCACCTCCTGTGAGCCTCACGGCCAAGTGGCACGAGGCGGAGGAGGCCGCTCGTCCAGGGTCAGCCTGCGTTTGTCTGGCCCGGGTTGCAAGCTAAGAATGGCCTTTATATTTTTAAAGTGTCGTTTAAAAAAATAGGTAGCAGAGTCCGTATGTGGCCTGTAAGACCTGAAGTGCTTACTCTGGGGCCATTTACAGGTTCGCTGACTCTGGCCAGAGTTCCAATAACTGACCGGGAACACTGAGGCCTGGGGCAGGAGGGGCACGCCTGTGACAGACAGCAGCCAGCCCAGGGACAGAGGCACGGTGGGAGAGCCGCAGCTTCTGAAAACGGCCGAAGGGGCAGGTTTATATGTATGTAACCACCTCAAAGCCAAAGCCAGCAGCCTGTCCCCTGCACTCACGAGCATACTGCTCCCCAGCCGCTGGAACCAGGCCGTATGTCTTCCCTGCTGTGTAGATGTCCTCGCCCCTCAGGGTCACGGCGTCAATTTGCCCAGCCTGTAGGGGGACAGAGAGAGTGGCCAGGCTGGGGTGAGCTCCAGGGTGGCTCTGGGTGTTGGGAGCGGATGCAGGTATCAGGGTCAGGCCTCTTGGGGTCAACTTTGGCCTCTGGCTCCCATCTCCTGGTGACCCCGTCCTGCCCCACCAGCCCTTTCCTCCCATTGTGAACTTATGTGGGCAAGAGGGGTGCCTGGAGGGCCAGAGGCCTGAAACCAGCCCTCACCGGCACTCCTGTCCTCGGGTGTCTGTTTCATTCTTTCAGTAAATGTTTTCTGAGGGTGTCCTGTTGCCAGGAGAGGGTCGCCTGGTTGTGAGGGTCTCCTGAGCAGAACCTTGCACGGTCTCTGCCTTCCTACTTGTGTGGGCTCTCCCTGTGGAAGGCCAGCCTTCAGAGGCCTAGGGCACTGAGCTGTATCCCTGGCATCTGGCCGAGGGCCGGTGCAAAGCATGGGTGCAAGACATTTGCCAAATGTGTGTGCCAATGGATGCACGGGTTGGGCCTTAAAAGAAAGCAGTCTGAGGGCCTGAGAAGGAGGCTCCAGGGATGAGGGATAAGGCCCTGCCTCAGGGGGCAGGGTGGACACTCCTGAGGGGTTTTGGTCTGCCTTGCATAGAGAGACCACCCTGAAAAATGCTTCTCACCTCAGGTCCCACCTACTTGCTCTTAAAAAAGAGGAGGGGAGGAGTCCAGGAACCCAGAAGCTGCCGGGACACCTGTCACCATGGTAAGACCTCATCCCTGACTTCAGGACATTGGGCTGCCACCGAACCCTGGCCTCGGTCTCCAGTCAGAGAAGTAACACAGAGCTGGGTGGGCCTATGACCAGGACCAGTGCCTTTAACTGCAGGTGGCAGTCATGTTAGTGATGCCAAATCAACGTAATGGACCGTGGCAAGCATTAACAAAAAAGAGAGAAAAAAGACTACCCTTGGCCAGATTGCTCAGTTGCTTAGAGCATTGTCCTGGTACACCAAGGCTGGGGGTTTGATTCCCAGTCAGGGCACATACGAGAATCAACCGATGAACACATGAATAAGTGGAACAACAAATCACTGTGTCTCTCTCTCCTTAAAATTGAAACAAACAAACAAACAAACAAACCCCAAAGACTAGTATATAATAGAACAGAAACTACCAGCATACATTTTACTTAGTGGGGGGAAGTACTGTTCTGCCTCATATCTCCAGCTATAGAAAGAATTTTTTAAACCTATACATCTGAAAGAAAAGTTTTGCAGACTAGACAGTGATTGATGTGAAATGTGTCTCTGGCTGCAGGTTGCTGTCAGAATTTGTGACAAACGACGACCCAAGCCTGCCCCTGTTGTGCACAAGGGGAAACTGAGACGCAGAAAGGGGAGGGCTTACCCAGGGCCCCAGAGCCGGCCAGGGCCGAGCTGGGCCAGTCTCATACTCCTGGCCATCGGCTCAGGGTAAACAGCCCCCCTCTGCCCTGTTCCCTGGGGTGGGGGGACTGGTCCCTGTGGGTCCTTCCTCCTCCCCTTTCCCTGTGGAGTTGTCACAGGAGACCTTCCCCTCCCAGGCTGTTCTGAGTCCCTAGACCGGGTGGGTCAGGGGAAGGATGGTGAGGACCATCCAGGCGCTGCCACCAATTTCCACAGAGCCCGTTCTGCCCCTCGGGTCACGGCCCCCACCTGGATGCGTTCCATGCAGTGCTGGGGGGACTCAGCTGGCACACACTGGATCTCCGGCCTGAGCCCCTGCCGGCTGAAGGCCACAGCCATGTCCCCACACTTCTGGATCTCAGGAGTGGACAGCACACACCAGTGCAGGTAGTGCGGCAGCCCTGTGTGAGCGTGAGTGCACGGTCACCACACACTCGCCTGCCTCAGGGGCCGCCCGAGCACGACCTGTGCGGTTGGGGCCCTGGGGGCTGGTACCTCAGCAGGCAGAACTTGGAATCAGACCCAAGGGAAATTCTGGCTCTTTCTCTCGTTAGCAGTAAGGGATAATTTATTTAGCGATCTGATCCTGTGTCCTCATTCAAAAATGGGATAACTCTTCCTCTTTCTTGGGGCTGTGAGGAGGCATGAGGGAGGCCGTGGCTGCCGTGGGTCTAGCTCAGTGGCGCACCATTTCCCTGTTGTGGGTGAAGGAGACATGGGGTGGGGGCTGGAGGCAGGAAGCCCATCTGCAGACTACTGCAGTAGTCCAGGAGAGAGGCACACCTGAGCCAGGGCCGTGGCCGTGGGCGGGGAGGAGGAGTAAGGCATTGTGGAGGGAGGGTGACAGGACTCGGTGACTTCCGTGTGGAAGGGTGAGGAGACCCTTCCCAAGACAGACCTGAAGGCCTAGATCCCACCCCGTGAGAGAGGAGGGGCTTCAGGGAATAGCAGGCCTCCCAGTTTTGGGGATGCCTTCTCCCCAAACCCTTGGAGGCAGGGCAGTGAGAGCAACAGGTTCCCCTCCTGAAGTGGTGTCCCCCCACCGCCCACCACCCCTACGTCTCTCCAGAAAACCCTGCCATTCCCGCAGCCAGGCTGGGCTGGAGCCGGTGGGAGGAGACAGGTGGACTTACCGCTGGAGTCACAGAGGAAACCCTTCATGGCACGCAGGTACTCAGGGCCCAACCATGACTCGTAGGTCTGTGTGGCGACGGGCACCAGCTCAGACGTGGCATCTTTGAATAGCAGATTCTTCTGGCCATAGGCCTCAGAGCTGAACATCTGGAAACTACTGTTCTCATGGCTGAAGAGACGCTGTGTGTCAACGGGTAAGGGCGGGGGACCGGTGAGGTGCTGCAGGGCTGGATCCCTCCCTGCCATTTCAGCCACCACGTCCTTCTTCCTGTGCCCTCGGGGCAGATGCCCACGTGCGGGCCAGGTGAGGCACCACCTCCTGCCTTCCTCTGTGCTCCGGGGGCATCCTGCCTTGTCACGCTCAGCTGACTGGACACAGGACCTGTGGCCTGGGTGTGGGGTGGTCCTGAGACCAAGCGATGGGGTGGAGCAGCGGTGGCACAAATGGGGCCGGGCTGAAGCCGCTGTGCCCGCAGTCATAACTTGCTGCTCCTGTAAGCGGTGGCTTCAGCAAGACATTACTCACCGCGTTTCACTAACGGTGTACTTGGGCATTGACTGGTTTCATCATTTTGTTTATTTGCTCACATGAGCCAGCCAGCACAGCTGGTCCCTCCTCACACTGGCCTGGCTTGAGGTTTGACACCCCAGAGGCCAGGGTCCCTAGTCGGGGTGGGTCCCAGGGGAGGGTCCCGGGTCCTGCCCCTCCTGGTCCTGCCGGCCCAGCTTCGGGGTGGCTCTGGCCTGAGCTCCCACCCTCATGAGAAATACGAAGGTCCAGCGCCACGCGAGAAGCTGTGTGGGGTGCCTCCAACTCACCTGGCCTTCGTTGAGCAGCCGGAAAATGAGGCCTCCGTCTGCGTCAGCGCGGACCACCACGGCGTGAGCAGGCACCTTGGCCAAGTGACACCGTCTCCACTCAGTGATGTCAGCCTGGCTGCCGTCGAGGCACAGCAGTTTGAAGTCCCGCGACAGCAGCGCCTGGCCCCAGGAGGGCAGGGTCTTTCCTGGCGAATTGGGAAGCCTCTTGTGAGCCAAGTCTGTCTGGTGGAGCCGGGGTGTCTTAGGGGGGCAGCAGGGATAGCTCATGAGAGGGAGCCTGGGGAGGAGTTAGAGTGTCATGGGCCACAGACCCACTGTGAAAAGAAAGCTCTTCCAGAATTTCACTGGGAGGGGAGAGCCAGCACTCAGAGTGAAGAGTTTGGCTGCGGTACAAGACCAGGTGTTATGATAGACTGTGTCTGTCTTCTTAAACTTTGTATCTCTCACCAATTTCTACTAATCAAATGGATTTGAGGAAATAAGACAACACATATAAACAAAACTGTTTATTAAAGATAAGAAGAGTAAGAGAAGGGGAGAAGCTTTAGCTGAGAGAGAGAGGAATGTACAAGGAGCTCATTGCTGCCCACAGGCAGGGAATTTGGCTCCAACCAGAGGGTGGGGAGGGGCCGGTCAGGACGCCACAGTGGAAACAAACCCTGACAGAACCCACCGGAACTGTGTCCCAGAGAGAAAGGGGAACTCTGCAAAGCTTCACCCACACACTAATGCAATATTAATCCACCTATTCATATTTTTGTATATTTCCTCCAAGCCCTTTTTTCTATTCTAGTCATGTCAAATATGGTTAAATTTTCTATCCATTTTAAATAAAGTTAAGCACATACTTGATAGGCAATCTGGCATCCTACTTTTTTCATTTCAAATTAATCTTCCACATTATTGGAAACTTTCCATAAAATTCATTTATAATAGAAAACAAGATTTCCATGAAAAAGTGGATATTGACAACAAATAGGAAAATTAAGAAGACTAATTAAAACATGAGGAAATAGGAGGGAAAAGATAATTTGCAGGATTATGAAAACTCTATGTTCATTGCAGCATTATTCACAGTAGCTATGACTTGGAAACAACTGAAGTGTCCTTTAATAGGGAATTGGATAGAGATGTGATGCATGTGTACAACGGAATACTACTCAGCCATAGAAAAGATGGAACACACTGCCATTTGTGACAACATGGGCGGACCTTGAGAATATCATGCTAAGTGAGATAAGCCAGATGAAAAAGGACAAGAACCATATGATTTCACTCATATGTGGGATATAGAACAGAAAGCAACAGACAAACAAACAAATCTGACAGACACAGATAATGGAAGGGTGATTACCAGAGGGGAGTGGGTGTGGGGGAGAATGAAGAGGGCAAAGGTCAAATATATGGTGACAGAAGGAGCCTAGACTTTGGGTGGTGAGCACATAATGCAATTTACTGATGACATATAGAATTGTACCTTTGAAAATTACATAAACTTATTAACTAGTGTCACCACAATAAATTTAATAAAAAGATAGGCATGATAGAACTGCTTTGTCTACCTCACAAAGTTGTAGCAAAACTCTAAAGAAATCATAAAAAATTACTTCCTTAGATTTCCTTTGAATACCATCAACATTTTAAAAGAGCTGATTTTTACCAAATACGCCCCCATTCTTTCTCAAACTTCCAAATTCTCCTTTTCATGACTCACGCTGGGGCCCAAGCCCCTGCTGCCTGTTTCCTTAGGACGGTCCTGCACTGGAGACAGTCCTGTGCGCTTCCTCCTTTTCCAGGTCACTTTGTTTTTCTTTCTCAAATCTGGCTCATACTGTTTGTCTTCATGAATGTCAGACTACATGATTTAAATGGCAAAGATTAACCAAAAAAAGATAACAATTTTTTAAAAAATGGACAACGATCAGACATGCTGGAACAGGCAAAACTAGAGAGGTGGGGCAGGGGTGAAGGGTCTGGCACAATTGCTGTCTTGATTGTGGTGGTAGTTATCCAACGACTAGTTTTTGGCAACACTCATAGAACTGTACTTCAAAAAGGATGAATTTCTGCTGTATGTAAATTATCCCTCAATTAAAAAAATAAGTGACCCTTAGGCTAATCAAAATTAGGGGTCATTCTATAAAATAACTGGCCTGACTCTTCAAAAAACAAAATTTTTTTTTTTAAAATTGAAAAACTGTTCAAAGTTAAAGAAAACTGAAAAGACCTAATAACTGGATACCATGTGTGATCTTACATGAGGTTCTGGCCTGAAAAAAATTGCTACAAAGGACAGAATTGGGACAATTAATGTATCTAACATACGGACTGTAGATGACAGTATTGTGTCAGTGTCACATTTCCCGAGTGTGATAATGGTACTGAGTGTAAGTCCACACCCCCGGGTCTTAGGAGACACGCACCAAATTATTGAAGGGGTGTGACATAGGCAAACGCACTCTCCAATCTCAGAAAGAACACACATGTAGAGAAAGAACAGTAAGTCGCTGTGGCAAATGCCAAAAGTCAGTATCCTGGAAAGAATAAAGGGAAGTTCTTTGAATTACTCTTCCAACTTTTCCAAAGCTTAGTTATTTCAAAATTAAAAAAAAAATAAATGACAATGATATACTGGGTCAATACATAACACCTGGTCCAGAGACAAAGGGGCAGCTTCTTCAGATAAGAGAAAAATGCCAGGAAGGGATGGCAGATGAGCATTAGTGCAGAGATTTGCAAGCTTTTTTTGGAAAAGCGGAACCCAATCTTCACATGGAAACAGAACCCAATGCCATACACAAATCAGGGCAGGTCAGAGCTGCCCCATGGCCCCCTTGCCCACAGAGCTGTTTGAACTCCCCCGCTGAGACCCACCTGAGCCCCGGAAGCGTTCCCTGCTCCCGGGGTCAGGCCCACTCACCGTCAGTGTTCTCCAGCACAGTGCTGTGCTTCACAAAGGCCACGTCCCCTGCCCCTTCTGCCAGGCACCTGCAGGGGAGAATCCTGTGAGTCTGGGTGGGGCTGAGCTCCCTGAGCTCCAGAGCCCCTGCCATCCTCCACCTCTGGAGGCCCAGCCTGGACTGAGGGGTGGTCATGGTGGGCGTGGGTTTCAAGTCACACTGTCTCGTGTGCCAGCTCTCCTGTGGCTTTGCCACGTTGTGGGGCCTTCCTAGCCTCATCACCTGTGAAGTGGGGATGAGAAAGTGGCTCCCGTGGGGAGAGATCCTTTGCCACCTGTGTGGATCCTGTACAGCGGGACCTGGACGGCGCAGGAGCTCCTGTGGTAGCTGCTCTCAGCGGCAGCTGCAGCCGGAACACTCAGGGGGTTTCAAGATGACTCTGTCCCAAGGCAGGGGACTGCAGTAGACCTTCTCATGCCATAACAAAAGCACTGAGAGGAAGGGCCAAGGACTTGCAGTATCCTCTATGTGGCACTGCCCAGTGACGGGGGCAGGTCAGGGGCTATGGGCAAAGGTGCTGCCTGGGTCTCCACAGCCACAAATGATCAGGGACTGGACAGGGGGACGACACCAGGAGAGGTGGGGTATGCAACAGTCTCTGGCTTAGAGGACAGAGACCTGTTTTTCTCTTTGTGCTAAAAACTGCATTTTACCCAGATCCCAGACTGGAGCGTGGGCGCGAGCAGACTTCCCTGCTTCCAGAGGAAACACTGAGGCAGGGGCGGTGAGAAGGGCTCAGCAGGCTTCCATTCCTGTCCGGGCCGGGGCGGGGGTGGTTGCGGGGCGGCGGGGGGGGGGGGGGAGGGGGGAGGGGGGAGGGGGGGAACCCAGGCCTCACTTAGGGACGCATGGGCCTGCACCACAGCAGCGAAAGGCTCTCTTTTGTATCCACAGCGGGCTCCTCTAAAGTGTCAGTCTGAACCAAAGGGTCCCCACACCCTGCCCCACCCCCACCGCCCTGAGTCACCAGAATGGGGACACTGGAGTAGCAAAAGGCTGTTTTGTCATTTTCTTCTCTCTGAGCCCTCACCTCTCTAAATATACCAAACATGTTGACTTATGAGCAAATCCAGTCTGGCACACTGCGGTTTGATGTTTTTAAGTCAACCAGAGCACACAAACTGTATAAAGGCCACTTTGACGTGATGCTGCAGACGCGGCCACTCCCCCAGGGCCGTCTCTGCTGCTGAGGTGTTTTTCCCCAGCTCCTGGGCCTCAGGGCCTGACCTCTGACTCAGCTGCGGAGCGCCAGCCCCGCCCAGGCCCCTCTCACCGGAAGGCTCCGCTGTAGTCGTAGTATCTCTCCAGGGGGCTCTTGTCACATACCCCCTCCCCAGCCGCGTTGCCCCGGCAGAGGCGACACAGGGACTTGGAGTAACTGGTCTCTCCTGCGCCAGGGACACAGCTGCCCCCAAAATACTCGCTGACAGCTGTGGGAAGGAGGAAGAGGGGGGTGAGCCAGCTGTACTGCAGGGTCAGACCCCTTGCCCTGTCCTCTGGGGACGGCTCAGGCCACTCAGGCGGGAGCGGAGGGCCGGGCTCCCCATGGATGGGGCTGGATCCGTCAGGCTTCGGTTGGAGCAAAACCGGGAACTTGGTTCCAATCTGTGATTCCCAAACTGAGGCCACAAAAGTGTGAGCCCTGGGGAGTGACGGTTGTTATTTAAAAATGGCTCAGGGAACTAAACCATTCTCCCCAAAAGGCCGAATAGCACAACCACATGTTGTTCTCATTGAGGGTTTCATCTCAAAATCAGTATGGGTAAGCAATCAATGAAAGCAGGGAAAGAAATAAATGATCGCTTAATGAGTATGATTAATTTGAGAGACAATGTGTCTCAAAACAGGGAGGGGAGGAGAATGGAGCAGGAGGAGGCGTCATAAGTGAAGAGGTCGGCTCTCCATGGTTTCCAGGCCCCGGTTCCACCCTCTTGACAACTATTTATCCTGTGCTGAGGACGTCCCAGTGCCACGCGGGTGAGCAGGGTGCCACTCACCTTGTGCTCATCACCTAGCTAGACCGAGCTCCTTCAGGGTGGGTGTCCTTTCTTGGTCTTGCTTTGCATCCTCCCAGGGGAGAAGACATTTAATAAATGTGTCAAGTGACTGATAAACCACACACACCTGGCCACCATCTGCGAGGATATGAATTCCAGGCGTTCTGGGGTTGTGCTGCTTTACATGGTTGGGCCTGTGTGGGGGCAGTGCATACATGTGTGGGCATGTGTGCCATGTGTGTTTACACATGTGTGTGCATGCATATGTATGCACGGCTGTGAGGTGCCTGCCGAGAGGTATGGAAGTTGAACTCATAATAACCACAGCTCCCTGAGGTGAGCACATGCCCTGCGTCATGCATCGTGTGAAGCATTGTGCCAAGACAGTGGGTGAATTATCTTGGTCCCCCCGACCTCACAGCACTGTAGTTAATTTCCATTTTACAAGATGAGGAAACTGAAGTTCAAGGAGGCAGTCTGTCTGAGGGCAGATCATCTATCTGACAGCCACATCAGTGCTTTAAAAGACTGTTGTTTCTTCTGCAAAATCCTCCCTCTTCCCTGTACCCACTCCCAGAAGCACTGGTCAGCTGTGGAGCAAACCGGGAGTCAGCACTCTTGTGGACAAGGGATTTGAGGACACCCCAAACTCTACTTGGGGAGTGGTGTGATCCCAGGAGAGCAGTTTCAGGATGTAGTGGTCATGTGTCAGGGGCCACCTCATTGCTGTAGTGTCCACTGTGGAGAGATTGACACAACTGGGTGGCCAGTAGGTGACCAAGAAAAGAAGCACAAAGCATGAGAAGCAGGGCGTCAGCCCAGACTGCCAGCATGAGGGCTCTGGGCTCTCAGCCAAGACCCTCAGGTCTTCACCTGACTCCCCTCATGTGTTTCATTCTCAGCCACCCCACTTGGACCACCCTGAACTCCCTTCCCGAGGAGAAATTTCTATCTGCACGAAAGCCCTGTTCTCACTTCAAATGAGTCAGTCAGGGAGCAGCGAGTCTCTGATTAGCTATGTACAAGCTTTCTGGGTGCAAGTCTGCAGCTTGCTTGGGTCCTGAAGAAACAGAGTTTCTGAATCTGTAAAGTTGAGGACACATTTCTGTAAATAGCAGCTGGCACCAGGTCTCCACCAGTGAGGGCTGCAGTTCACAATGTCCCAACATGGGCCGGGCCCTGTGTTTCAGGGTGAGGAGAGCGTGAGAGTCAACTGCCCTGAAAGAACCTTCAAGCAGAAATTAAAATGGTGGCAACCAGCACTAAAGACAGGTGGGCGTGATACCACTATTAAGTGTCTGGGAGGCCCCTGGCAGAGCTGGGATTGTGCCATTCCTTAAAGAAGGTGCAAGAAGAAGGTGAGCCTGGAGGAAGGCTGCCCTGTGAGGGAAAGGGAAGGGATGAGGCAAGGAGAGGGGAGCCCCAGAGATGTTGTAGGAGAAGCGTCTGCCCTCCAGAAGCCCTCACCTTGCAGCACGTTGCAGCCCATCACTGAGAGCCTGCCGCTCTCCACCAGGTAGCCCACGGGCACATTCCAGCCCACGGTCCTGTTGATGCCCGTGTGGCAGGACTTCATGCCTTTCAGGGTGTTGATGGTCAGGTTAGAGCCTCTCTTGACCACAGCTACAGCATAATAGGAGGTACCAACATCTAGAAGGAGGAGAGGAGTGACGATGGCGAGGGAGAAGCCACGAGAAAGGCTGGGACCCTGACTAGGAAGGCTGTGGGAGAAGGGTGTGTGTGCATGTACACACGAACGAACCTGTGTGTGAATGCACGTGTGTGTGGATGTACAGGTGTGTGTGTGCGCGTGGTATTCTAGTTCCTGAGGGAGCAATTGAATGCGAGCCAAAAGTCTCATCACAGATCTCGCCCTCTTCCAGCCTCATTTGGTAGATATTGAGATATTATTTCATTAGTCAATTTTTGCCTTTCCTTCCCAAGTTAACTGGTGCTTAGTTGATTGACATCTGTGAATGTCAGGGGGGCTTTGTAGCTGGACCAACAGCAGAAGTGGCCTACAACTTTTGTTTTCCAAAAGTTCTCCCTTTGGAGAAGTTAGAAAGGTTGAGGGAATGGTATTGCGGTAATGGGAAGGGCAGTGGTTGGGTGGACCAGGGATAGCAGGGTGGTGGCTTCCCTCAGATTAGAAAAAGGGACTCACTAGTGCTGAGGGGAAAGGAGAGACAGGTAGGTAGGTGATAGATGGATAGAACATTGTGGTCTCACATCACTCAAGACCTTGACTGGGGTGCATGTGGGTACGCAGGCGTCTACAGCCTTGCAGAAGATTCCCCTGGGCCAAATGTGGCCGAGAAGGGGCCATTCAGACAAGACAGAAATGACTCATCTATGGGGACTGATGTCCAGAAGGCACCCTCTCACTAACACTGGAGTGGAGTGACTGCCCCGTGGCGGTGGGTGCCCAGGATCAGATTGAAGCTGGGTTCTAGAAAACAAAACCAGTGTTATTTTTTGTACACCTGAGTCTGGCCCTTGGCAACCTAAGTGGTCTCGTCTGGTCCCATCCTCTGATTTTCCCACTGTGCCTTTCTTTTTAGTTTCTTGAACACACTAAGCTCTTTCTTACCTGGGACTCTGGTCTGGGCTCCACTTGATGTCACCTCCCCATATGAGCCCTCCTGTCTGCTCTGTTTTAATGGTCCCCCACCCCTATTTTCTCCCTCATGGCTTTTACTTTTTCATGCACCCACCACATCTGTAACTACAATTTTTTGGTGTTTATTTGTTTATTTTCTGACACTTGCTCTTTGAGGGGCAGAAACTGGCTTTCTGTTGCTTACTACTCTATTGGTCATGACTGGCCTGTAGTAGGTGCTTAGTAAATGTGTTGCATTAATTAAAGAGGAAGATCTATATTTGGGGCCCAAGAGACAGGATTGTTTCTGGCTGCTGAGTGAAAAGGCTGACTGGTTTACAGGGCTGGACTGTGTCTTATGTCATCTGACAGTCACTAATTCAACAAGTAACCAAGAGAGACCCTGTGCTGGGTACCAAAGATGAGGACCAGGGCCTCCTCAGGGGACTCACTCTGGTGAGAACAAAGAACAGAAGACACAAGGGGACAGAACCTTCGCAGAGTGAGTCGGTGCTCTGGGAAGCAGGAAAGAGAGGACCTTTGCAGGGGTGGGGAGGCCCAGGGGAGCTTCTTGGAGGTGACAACTGAGCTGGATTGTGACAGAGGCTAGGCACTGGACAAGTGGGAGAGGTACAAAGGGCAGGCTGAGCCTGAGGCTTGTCGGGTGTGAGGCGAAGGGACAGGGGCAAAGGAGCTCACATTTCCAACCCATAGCACACGTCAGGTGTTCACACATCGGCAGGGATCACGATCCCCATTTTATAGTCAAGGAAATAAAGGTTGTCCAAGGTCACAGGGATTCACAGGAAGGGACAGAGTTGGGACTTGTGTTTGGTGTGTTGGCTCTGCAGCTCCTGGTCACCCTCTCTTGCCCGGTCCCAATACCACTCTTGTTGCTTCTGGCAGATGGCCCCTCCAGTGCGAGGGGGCCAGGCATTTCTGATGTTTCCCCAAGGCATGGGACTGCCCCTCAGTAAGAGTTTGTGGGTGCAAATTAGGGGTCTGCTGGGATCCCCACGAGGAAGAACAGGTACGGATCAGCCTTCAGTGTCTCCGGCACCCTCGCTCTTGGGGAAAGGGGCGTGTCAAGAGAGATTTGGGGGGCCTCTGAAAGTCTGTGTGACCAGGACTCTAGGACTGCTCTGGGGAGACGGCTGCTGACCAGCTCCAGGGCTTCATGGTTGGGTGAGGCCCAGCAAGGACACAATGCTGAGTGACCTCCCCTCTCCTCCCACCCCTCCTCCCACTCGGCCTTCTGACCTTGATCATACACTTCACCCACCACGGGCTTCAGGCCGTGCTCCTTCCCTGCCTCATAAATGGCTCCTCCATCCAAAGTGATGGCGTCAGCTTCCCCAGCCTGCTGGGAACAAGTGATTCAGCCCCACCGCGCCACTTCCCGCCCCTCCTAGCCAACCCAGGGAGAAGCTCAGGGACACCCACCTAGGGCTCCTTGAAAAACTTCGGAGGTCCACACTGGCCCTCTTAATTGGGCCTAGGAGCCCTGTCCAGGCTCAGCCTTGCAGTCCCCACCCCCACCAGAGCTTAGGGGTCTCCCCCTTTACCAGGCCCAAGGACTCAACTTGCTTTTCTAATTAGTTATTTGAAAAATATTATTAATTTTATAGGACTTATAGTAGATGTACATGTTAAAAAAAATCAGATAGTACAAAATGGTATGTAGTGAAAAGTGAGTCTTCCTCACTCGTTTCCCAGCCCCTGGCCACCCTGTTTCTCAGGTTTTCTCTCTATGATGCAGACTGAATCCCATAAATGCATGCCCTCCTCAAATTTTTCCTTTAAAACACAAATGGCAGTATACTATCAATGTGCTGTGGGGTCCATGAATAGAATTACAGTCCAGTATCGTCGGCCTCCACCTTCACAGTGGAGCCTGACCCAGGCCTTGGGCCACATGGGACCAGGACTGGATTAGGCCTTGGGGCGTTTCAAAGGCTGAGCTGAAGTGAAAGCCCAGGTCCCTCTGTGTCTGCCCCCGAGGCTTCCCATCACACCTTGTCCTGCTACTGAAGTACTGCCTCTGAGTATTGGCAGTGCCAGGTGAGCAGCTCTCCTGCCACTCGGAACTGCTTTCCCACTCCTGACGCACCCACCCAAGATGGCTGGCCCCTGTTCCTTCCCCTCCAGAAACGACACAAGCCCTGCTCTGGAAAACTCCGTGGCACAGAGAGTAACCACCATGGGCCACTGAGGAGTATGCTATCCGGGCACCCCTTGGTGGGGCGGGCAGTTTGCTAGTATCGCAGGGACCTTGTGGAAGAAACACTCTGTTTCTTCTGCAGTTTGCTAGTATCGCAGGGACCTTGTGGAAGAAACACTCTGTATCACAGATACCTTTCCCCACTGGCACCCATCTGAGCAGGCACCCACTCTGGGGCCTCCCAGTGCCTGGCCTGGGCCTGTGCAGGAAACGAGCTGGCCCTTGTTGCCTGGGAAACTCAGGAGATCCTATCACGCAACCCTGAGGTGGGGGGCATGGGTGCCTTTCCCAGTGAATGAGGCTGTTGTGTGCTCCCTTCTGAGTCAGAGCCCTCTCGCCTGGCCGGTGTAGGTGCCAGAGCGGAAGGGAGAGGACTCACCGTGATGAGCTGGACACAGTGGTCAGCTGAGGTGCCCTGGATACACAGGAGGGAGGGCTGGATCCCGGCTCTCTGGAAGGCCTTGCTCATGTCGCTGCATTTCTGCTGCTCAGGGTCTGAGGTGGTGCACCACTGCACCTCCATCCCGCTGAGGGCTGGGGGAAGGGGACAGTGAAGCCCAGCTCCCCAAGGGCATCCCCAGCCCCCAGTGAGGAGGATGGCTCCAGCAGCTCTTGGTGACTCAGTCCTCAGCCGCAGCACAGCCTTGCCACTGGGACATGCACCTCGCTAGTTCCCACCCCTCTTGGCACCTCTGCGTTCTCCAAGAGAATGCTGGACTGGGTTCCTCACTAAGCAGTGTCCCTGGGCCCTCATGAACTGAGACAGGAGCCAGGGGAGTGGTATAGCTGCCCTTGAGGAGCCTTGCACCCTCGTGGAGCATCTGTGATTATGCCCCTTGCACAGCCACCCTCAGGGGGCACAGTGCCAGGACCCACAGAGGGAGGCTGAGTCAGCTTCAAGTTACTGGTCCTCTAGCAGGTGACTTCAAGGCAACGTATTTAGCCTCTCTGAGGCTGTTTCGTCGTCTTCAGGGAAAGCGAATGAGAGAACTCACGTTCTGTGTTGTAAATAAACCTATGTTGAGTCAGGACACACAGTCCTCAGCGGACTTCCACGTAGGCCCTTCTTTCTGGCAGGGACCCATGTAAGAGTCCCAAAGAGCTCCCAGCCTCCTCCCGCACTCACCCTGCCCTGCCAGGACTGCCAGGGAGGCCTGCATTCCCCGCCAGGCTTTGGGGCCAGTTTCCGTCCCCTAGGGACCAGGTCACTCTCCTGGCATCCCCACTCCAAGGGTCAAGACTGCGAGGTCCACTGCCTGCCTTCTCCGGCAGCACCCGGAATGAGGGCCGGTCTTCCCTGTAGCGCTCCAGGACTGCACCCTGGCAGGCCGGGCAAGCGCCAAGCTCAGGCCCTCGACCCCTGCGAACAGCTACCAGAGGTCCGGCGTCAGTCTCATAGTCCAGACCCTGACTACCTTGGGAGGCGGAGGTGAGGTGGCGCGGGGACCCCGCCTGTGCTCCCTTCTCCATCCCTGCGCCCTGCAGGGCGCTCCGGAGAGGTCTCCTGGGAGGCGTCTCGCCCCTCCTCTCATCCCCTGGACTCCTCCCATCTCCCTTCACGAGGTGACTCCGGAGAAGTAGAGGCGCTCTGGCCCCTAAACCCTCCTCTGGCACCCGTGCTCATCAGGGCGTTCAGCCTCCCACGTCCCCCCGACATTCCCAGGCTCTCCCCTCCACGCCTTCGCCCGAGCCTCTCCTTGGCTGTTTTTCGAGGCCCAGCTCATGGCCACTTCCTCCACTGAGCTCTCCAGACATCCCAGTGTGTCCAGGTCAGTGCTAGATCCCTCTACGTCCTCATCCGCTAGACCCGTGGCCAGGACACAGTTCCCAGCTCCAGGACCCCCGCCCCGGGTCCTGCTCCCACTGCCGGGCGGAGGGGCCTCACCCGTGCGCAGGACTAGGAAGAGCCACAGAGCCACACTCAGGCCCCGCATGGTGCTGTCTAGAGCGGGTTGAGTGCGTGCAGGTTGGGTCTAGGTCTGCGTCAGAGTGGGTCAGCAGCAGCTGGAGCTTTCTCCCTCCTTCCTCCCTGCTCTGGCTCGCAGCTACTTTAAGCGTGTCTGGGGCGTGTCTTGAAGTGTCCACGCCCCGAGGGCGCACCAGCCCACCCAGACTGGATACCTGGGATGACCAGACTGGCATTGGCCTTTTCTCTGGCGCCCCTTGCTGGAGCCTCGGATTGCGTGGGGGCCGAGTTTCACCGCTGGGCTGTCTGGATCCCGGGTGCTCCTAGCCCTGGGCAGCACCCTCAGCTGTCCAAGGCTCTGGTATCTGCTCTGTGGGGCCTGATTCCCTCAAGTCACAGGCTGCTCCACGGCTGTCTCTCCTCAACAGTCGCCTGGTCTGTGAGAGCATCTTCACTTTCTCTTGTCCTAGAAAGACCCCAAATATGTTCCACTGAAGAGGGAAAAAGCTCAGATTTCGGAGGAAGAAGAGGTCAGAACCCAAGAGTATGAGTTGGACGGAAGTGTGAAGGCCATTGAATTTATTCACCAGCCTCTCTTCAAGCACACATTGAGCCGAAGAGCCCCTGGGGACAGAGATGGACCCTGGTAGATGCTGCCATAGCCAGGAAGCACCTGGCAATAGGGGTATTTCCCATTCTAGGCCATTGCCTCTTCTTGGACCTAAACAGAGGAAGTGACTTGCCCCAGGCCACACATTTAGTCAGTGACAGAGCTGGAACTAGAACCCAGGTCCCAGCAGAGCCGGGCTCTTTCCATCACGCTTTGGAAGGTGGGAAGAAGACTCAAGGGGCGGGGGGAGGAGGAAATAGAAGAGAGCAAAGCAGGAGATGAGAAGAGGAAGCGAATGAGGAAGGTGAGGGAGAAAAGATGGAAGGTTGTCTATTTTTCTAGGCCAGTGGTTTTCAGAGTGGTCCCCAGAGTAGCAGCAGCAGTACCACCCTGAACTTGTTAGATACACAAATTCTCAGACCCACCTCTGACCCACTGAACCAAAAACTCTGGGGGACAGGGACAAAAATGTATGTTTTGTTTCTGGTGCACAGCAGAGTTTGAGAACCACTGTTGGTAGACCAGACTGCAGTTCTCCATGTGTGCCGGGGTTGTGGAGAATGGACTGCAGAAATCCTTCCTCAGTCATCCACCTTCATTTACATCCTTTTTTAATCACCTCCTCACGAGTACACAGGACTGAGATCCCCCCTGTCTTGGGTAGAGGACACGTGTGATAGGAACTCTGAGTGAGAGAGGAGGACTCCTGGGCTGAGTTTGTCAACCCTTGAGCCTGTTCTGCTCTCTGGGGAAGGGAGCCCTGGCTCCTCTAACTGGGTCATGAAGCTGCTGCTTCTTACACATGGAGATGATTATGGGGCCTGGGCTCCAGGAGACCTGAGTTCTCCTTTTATCACTCACTCTGTGACCTCGGCCAAGTTCCTTCTCTCTGGGCTTCATATGTAAAAGGTAGATCATGACGACGCTGTGCCATTCTCCTTCCCCTAACAGCTGCCTGCTCTGGAGAATCTGAGGGACATTTGTGGTGCAAGCTGTTTTCCATCCCCAGCTGGTTTCACCGAGGGCAGGAGGCACCCCTTTCTAACTTAGCAGGTGGCCCTGGCAGGGGGGCTTTGGCCTGTCCTAAGAGGTTAGAACTAATAAAGTGTCCTTAGCGAGCCTCACCCTCCTGACTACGGGGATGAAAGGCTCATTTTGCACACCCCATGAGCAACCAGAAGGTATTGGCAGGATTTGTATTCATTTAGGTTGTTCCTTTAGCAAAACTCCAGGTGACACTCTGCTAGGGTGTGAGACAGCTACAACCTAAGAGCTTGGTGAGCCCTTTCACAGTGAGGTCCTTTCCCTCAACTGTGACTCATCAGTGGATCTGCTGATCAGGCTTCCAGATCAGGCCCATTTGTCTGGCTCTAACATGCATATAGCTTCAAATTGACATCTGCACGTAATGGGGAACTCTGCCTCAGTTTGAGCCGGGATCCTTCCATTTCTCAGAGGTAGACATACCTGGGTGATCAGATGAATGTGTGGGGTGCAATGTGTGTATAATCAGCCAGTAGTTTAACCAAGGAACAGCCTTATAGAGAACTAGAAGCACTGAGGTTAACTGGGTCCCTATTCTGGACTCATTGAAGTGTGAGAGAGTATAAAAAATACAATAACTGGTTTCACTAACACTCCTGTAAGGTGTTGGGGCCTAAGTAACACTGCTTTGGCACCCCCTGACCCTATTCCAGGATATGAAATACAAAGAACTCTTCTGCACTCTGCCGAAGACATAGCTCTGGCATTCCAAGGATTCAGGGTGCCCATCAGCATGGAGCTTGCTTGTCTGGAAGCTGGAATACACTAGAGGCAGCCTCTGGGGACTCAGAAAGAAGAGGGGCCTTTGATATGGAGCAGAGAACCTGTACTGGTGTGACGAGGGGGCTAATGAGCCAGCAAAATGAGGATGGACAATTCTTTTACCCAGAATCTTACAAAAATTAATATATTTTTTCATTTCAACAAACCATACTTTATATTTTTCTAATTTTATGGCTTTAATGTCTTTGACGAAGAACATGTCCAAACAATTTTTGTTCTGGGGATGTTTGCATGGGCTGGTATGCATAGAGAAAATGAGGAAGGGTGAATATTCGCAGCAGTAAACGTGTTACCAAAGGACATCGCACTCTTACAGTAAGTCTTCACTTAGTGTCGCCGGTAAGCTCTTGGGAACTGCAACTCTAAGGGAAACAAGATATAATGAAACCGATTTTACCATATGCTGATTGATAAACCCGAGTTACGTTCCTTTGGCATATTGCTGCTCACAAAAACATTTCTAAACCTCTAAATAAAAACCCAAACACTTCTAATATTAAGCTCTGAAATAAATGTGAACTATACAGACATTTAAGAGAGATTAATAAGAACAAGTAAGACAACTGTTTTCCAACTTGCTTATTTCAGTTCAGGGTCTCTGGTGGGCAGAGCCTATGCTGATACGCAACCCTGGATGGGCTGCTCATGCAGGGCACACTCACACACACTCACACTCACTCAGACGGAGGCAGTGGAGACACCCCAGTTCCCGTCATGTGCACATTTGGGGATGTGGGAGGAAACCAGAGTCATCCGGAGAAAACCCTCACAGACACAGTGTGTCGTGCAGACTCCGTACAGACAGTGGCACCAGCAGGGAACACACGGTCTTTTCTTATCAATGTTATAATGAAATGATGTTATTTGAGGACCTGCTGCACTTCTGACATCATTTATGGCGTATTTGCTGACTGGTTAACACATTGGAGTTTGTATATTGAGATCAATGGTAGAATGATTGTTTTGTGAATAAAAGCTTTTGTCTCTTTACAAGTATTTTCCCTAGGAAGCTGGACTTAGAGGAGGCCTATTCATTGGGCTACGTATTCCATGTGTAAGCATTTCAAAGGCAGATCCTGTGCTTCTTCTCTCTCTATTCATTGCAGTGTCTTGAAGTTGGTGAATAGTTCCTAATTGTGAATAAGTTTCAGGACATTATTAACTATCATTAAAGTGCCTCATGCTACTGAGGAAGAATGATTGAGAAGAGCCACAGAATTTGAGGAATAGGAAGTCCCCAGGCAGCTTTCAATGGTTTCTGTCACATTTCAAGGGCTGAGGTGTGGCCAGGAGGTTAACTCCATGGCAGGGCATGGGGGTGCATCTGGGGGTGTTGTCTACCACCATTCCTAGTGTCTGGCATCATGCCTGGAATACAGTAGGCACACAATAAATGACTGACCAGAAAAGTGGACAGAGTGTCTCAAGCAAGATACTCGACTAAGAAAGGAAAAGGAAAACATTGTTTTCATGGGATTCGGGGTCAAGGGAAAGTTTTTCTAGGATAGGGGTTATTTGATCATACAGTCAGAGCATAAGCAGCCCATGGATGAAGGAAACTAAAGATACAGGAAAGAGGGTAACTGAGGAAGATGTGAGGGGTAAGATCAGGTGGACTTGCATTGAGTTCTTGAAAGGAAAACAAAATGTATCTTCCTCAGAGTTGGGAACAGAGGGGCAGGAAAGACTCCAACTGAGCCAACCCTGCATTCAAGCGTAAGTCCCTTATGTTGGAACTCAGTTATTATTTTAATTATCAAACCACAGATTTTTAGTCTCTAAAAAATTTCCTTGCAGTCCAGACTTTAAATTGTAAAGGCTCCAATATTAGCTCTGGAGATAAATCTCCATCTATTTCATTGAATATAAAGTTTAGTCTGAGTAGAAACCAGTACAAAAGAAGTCAAGAGTAAAGATGTAAAATCAAGAATACTGTATTTGGTTCTGTCACTAAGACTTTCAGAGAAATTATTCATACCCTAGCTATTTCCAAGGAGGGTTTGGATGACTTATAATGGAAACATAGGCACGAGGAAGATAAAATAGATACAAAAGATAAAAATCACAAAGCACTTTCAGGAAGGAGGCTCATGCCAGGAACCAGAAAGGACTATAATTAAACAACAAAAATTAGCTCATTTGAGATTTAGAGTCAGATGCTTTTATCCACTCCCATTCCTTCCTCCATCCCCCACCTGTACTAATTTACAAATGAAGTGACTGCCAACACTTACAGAAGGCTGTTTTTAGCCCATTAAGAGCCATAGCAGTAAAGACTTCTAGGCTATGCAGCGGTCTGAAGGCTCTGGAGAAGTACAGGAGTTGTGCACTCTGATCATCCACAATGAGTACTTCACTGGGGCAGAGGAATACAAAGAGGAGGCCATCTAATTTGAGACAAACTATATAGCTAAAGAGGTAAAAGGCAGCAGAGGAAGCACATGTTCAGTGTTAAGTGGACACCCAGTATGTACTGCAGGAATTCAGGCAACAAGGGCTATGGCTGGGAAGGCTTCTGCAGGAGGTCGGATTTAGGGTAAGCCTTGAAGAAAGGGAGGGCTTTGATCCGGGCACTTGGGTGGGGAGGACACAGTATTTAGCAAGGTAGGAATCTGCATGACCAACAGCCACAAGACCAGACTGCAGAGGGTGTGTGAAGAGGTGTGGCTGGGGAGGGA